ATAAGCTTATATGGTCGCGATACAAGAAAACAAATAATGTAGAGACAGCCAAACACAAAGCATCGTATCAATAGCACGTGTTCAACAGTGAAACATGACAGAAGATCTATGATATTACGGAGTTGCATAAAATTAAATGGTACTAAAAATGCTGAGTACACTGACGCATTGTGTGTCAATTTTCTTTCCTCTAGTATATGAAAATTTGTTTGTCATACATATTTGAATGACATTAAAAATACATTAATAATATTAATTATACATATTTTTCATCAAAATTTGTTTATCATATATATATAAATGATAACTCGCAGGAAACATTAGTGTCATTTAAATATGAGTGACGTAACACGTAATGTGTTAAAGACACAATGGACAAAGTAAAATAATGAAATATCTTAAAGAAAAATTAAAATTGCCTCTACATGAAATTAAAAAAAAGATTAAAGGATATTTTTAATTTGAAATTAAGTAGATCACGAAAATGGTGATTATATGATATGTATTAATTACAGAATATCTTTCCAGTCAAGTTAATAAATTTACTCGAGACTTATTATAAGTAAGTACATTTTATCTATACAGTTTTTTAAAGTTTTTTATTAATTGTTCATTGAAATGCGAATAGAATGTATGTTACACTTTTATTTCCAAATAATTTCCACTATCTGCGTAAGTTATTAAATTTCGCGAATAACAACGATATATTGATATTCCTTACGATCTCCACCGTGACTGACTGTACACACCGAAGCACAAGGGAGGAGCCATTCAACGTGAAACACTGTATCAAATTCTGTTTTTATACTCTACCGGGATATCACGTTACTAATCGGATCGAGTGAAATTAACGACTCAAAACCGTACGTGTGCAAACAAAGGAAACACAACTTCTTTTGTGTCCTACTTGATGTCGTGCGATAACAATCTATTGTTAGAAAAAACAATTGAACGAGCGTTCGAGATATATTTATAGATTCGAAACAGTCGGATTCGGGCCGGATGCTTAAACAAACGCATCGATCTTTTTCACGTTACCTACGGTGTGAATAATTTTCGTCGCCACTGAAAATATTGATCTCGATGTTAAGAACAACATTGATAGAGATAAATACGAAAGCCATGCGTGGAAGAAACGGTCAAACCCAGTCGCACACGCGACTTGGTGGAAGCGACCGCGACGAACAACAGAATTGTACGCATGCGCTCCATCAGCCATCAAAGAATACAGATACGCATCCACGCGATGTGACTGAACTGTTGAACGTGTGTGTGCATCCAGGGGGAGAGGGATGAGGGATCAACGTTCGGGGAGGGGCGCGCGTCGAAACAAAATAAAAACGAGCCTCAACGTTTGTAAACGGAAGTAGGGATGGGCACTCGATGTATGCACGGTTCTTCTGGGAACTTTCGATTAAATCGAATTGTACGAATGCTAAACACGTTCCAGGGTACACACCATCGGTAATCGGGGAGAGAGAAAGACACTACTAAAACCGTGATCAATATTTCCAAAATTTTTCTAAGAATAACTTTCCGCTTTCTCAGTTGGATCTCAAATAATTTTCAGTTCCCACCTTCAATGCACAATTTTATTCGACACGGTAATAATTTGAATTCGTATCATATGAAAATCCACCGATGTATCGTATTTGTTGAACTGTGTATACGGTATACAATAGAAACATCGGTTATGTGGTAATACTTTGGGTATCTGTACCGATGCAGTACAGGAGAATTAGATATGAAATCTGTGTATTATGCCAATGTATAAAAATGTACGTCGATCGCGTTTGAATAAATGTATGATAGAAAGATGATATTTAACAGCGTCGGGTATGCGAGGTCTTCGCGAGAATACGGAATACCGTGAAACTGATCCCCGGTGCTTCCCACGACTTTAATATGCAGACGAGGCGGTTTCAAGCGCGCCGCGCCAACAATTCAACTAGAAGACGTGCAAGCACCTCGTTCTTCTCTATCAAGCATCGTCGCCTGTTACACGATCATATAAACTACCACCTGGCGCGACAAACATTTTCTATTTCCGAACTTGGTTTTCAAACATTTCGAAATTTCTCCGCGCAACGATCGTATACCTCGAACTTAAATTCGTAATGCATATGGTTGTTAAAGGATTCAACGTTTTTCCTTCGGCGCAAAAACATCGACGTTCGCATCGTTCCTGGAAACCTGGCACCGCCGCTCGCGCATTCTAATAAAATTTCAAACATCTGTTAACCTTACAGTTCACAGACTCGCCCTAACGCAACGATCATGCTAAGTATCGAAAAATATCTATGCTGTACTGAAAGCATCGAATCTTGTTTACTTTATGGCCCGAGCGTAGAAGACAACACTGATTTGAACAACTAAATATACAAATAGCCGCGGTGGATGTTGTATTGCATTTGATCATTTATAACGGTCGCTTGCGATCGGTATATTGTACACGATCACTGAAAAAAAGTTGACTTTCTCTTGAGGTAAAAGGAAGAAGAAAAAGGGAAACAGGGGAACAGAGAAAGAAGGAAGAAACGAGCGAGAGAAAGAGATGAAAGAATGATGCACAAATGCGTGGTTGCAACTTACTGTTGAAGACGAGCAGCTTCCGTGTGGAGCCAAGCCTCTTGATGGGTGACTTCACGCCGTCGATTTCTTCTTCGTCCATCACACTTTCCGATTTGTTCTTTGATTTTTGTGAAATACCCTCCGGCACGGGGGTGTTCGGTGTTCCGTTGAAACGCGCACAGAAAGAGAGTTATTTTTTCTTTCTTCTTTTTTCTTTCCTTTTGGTAAACCCGAGCAAAAAAATACTTGTCACAGCTTAAAGCATTCTCGAACACGAGGAGGTCACTGCTTCGTTGCAGTGAAACCGGTTTACCGGTGGCGTTGGTGCTTTCCTACGATCTGCACTAGACGCGCTATCAACGAGTACACATGTGCCGGCCGTGCATAAGGCCAGCCTATAAAATACGTACGAAAAAAAGGGAGAGAGAGAGAAAGAGAGAGAGAGAGAGAGAGAAAGAGAGAAAGAGAGAGACAGAGAGAGAGGGAGAGAGAGAGAGAGAGAGAGAGAGAGAGA